ACTGGCTTCTCTTGTAAGTGTCCTACTAACATGTTTTATTGTTTATTTTTTTCCTCAATAAGATAAAAAAAGATGGATAATACCTAACATTAGACTTTTAAAAAGGAAGCAGATGTACAAAGGAAGAAGGAAAACATTCCTCTAAGGAATCTAAAAGAAAGGAAAAGTGCATATTAAAGAGAAAGTATAATCTAGATTCTCAACTAATACAATGAAATATTTAAGAATTATCATGCAAGCATGGAAGCCAAAGCACAGGGTACTTTCATGTGATTTCTTATTTAAATACGAGAAAATGGTGGGAATGATTTAGTTATAGCTTTTGTTGTTGAGATTCATTTGATCATTATTTTTTTTAACTATTTATTTATTTGTACCTTAATTGAACTCAGTACCCTGGACTTGCCAGGCAGGCATTGTGCCACTGAGTTAAAGCCACAGCCTGAGATTCACTTTATTTATTTATTTATTTATTTATTTTTCCTTTTATTTTATTTTAAATAGTACAATAAAAAACAAAAACAGATGTCAAAAACAAAGACAGAAATAATGACATACAACAATACATATGATACAGAATTTCAAAACAAGAATAGAAAATTAACAATGGTGGTTATACTACTTATTTTTATCATCAAATCTGTTGCTCAGATGAACATATATAAGTATGCAAGATTGATAAAATAATTAAACATTAGTGCTTGCTTTCAATAAACTTGAATTTTTTCTTGTCCTTTCCTTTTATTTTTTAAATTTATTTTAAATACAGCATAGTAGTAATTGATAAGACATTAAAAATGGTACACATAAATGCAATAATCCTCAATTAAATAGAACGCAGCAAATCGTCAGAAGATTATACACGACAACCTGATAGAATTCACCCCAGAGATGCAAAAATGGTTCAACATATGCAAATCTATAAATGTGATACACTATATCAATAGAGCCAAAACCAAAAACCACATTCAGAAAAGGCTTTTGACAAAGTCCAAAACTCACCCATGATCAAAGCCCTACAGAAAATTGGAATAGATGGCTTATACCTCAATCTGATAGAAACCATCTATGACAACCCAACAGCCAACCTCATTCCAAATGGAGAAAAACTGAAAAGTTTCACTCTAAAATCAAGTACATGCAAAGATGTCCACTATCACCACTCCTATTCAGTTCTGGACACAAGCTAGGGCTACTAAACAAAACTGAGATTCACTTTAAAGACAACTTTTGAATATCATGATTCTGCATCTTTGAATTTATGTTACAGAACTACTGTCAAATGTGCTACTCTGTGCTTTGTCACTAGATTTATTTTTGTTCACGAACATATGCATCACAGAGGCAAGATCAAATATAAGCTGCCAGTTCACAATTAGCTGCAGAAATCTGTCTGCCTCGGGGGTGTGTGTGCATGCACGCTGAGAATCTAATCCAGAGCCTTGCACATGCTAGGCAAGTGCTGTGCCACTGAGCTATATCCCAAGCTTCTGCCTCTATTTTTGCCAGTGTCCTTGCTGTGTTACAGCTCTGTAAATTTTCACAGTATTAATTTAGTCATCAGTTTTCTTCAATTTTGTACTTACATCCAAGTTTTGCTGGAGCAAATGACACAATCTTGGACTGGCCAAATAGCTTAGTGGATTAAAGCTCCTGCCTGGGCAGACGCAGGGACCGGGTTCAATCCCCAGTGTGCCATGCCAGCCTTGCCCCTGGGCACACTGAGATGATGACTGAGACTGGGCATGGTGGTGCATGCCTGAAATCCCAGTGCTTGGGAGGTTGAAAACAGGAGGATCACTATGAGTCTAAACCTGATCTGTATAGTGAGACACTGTAGACCCTGCACAAAATACATTGAAAAAGAAAGAAAGAAAGAAAGAAAGAAAGAAAGAAAGAAAGAAAGAAAGAAAGAAAGAAAGAAAGAAAGGAAGGAAGAAAGGAAGGAAGAAGGCAAGTAAGCAAGCCACAATCCTGCTTGTCAACATTTTTAATTCTGGGACTCAACTGAAGAAGTAGAGTACCCTGTGCTTCCAAGAATCTGAGATGCTAGCAGAGCACAGGAGCACAGTGCCGCATCTTCCCTATCAATACATCTGTGGTCAAGACATAACACTTACAGCTGGGATAATTTAATTTGTTGTCAAAGTTAGTAAAAGGTGCCCAGTCTGTCTTGAATTGATTTGGGTTCAAAGACAGAAAGGAGAAAGATTAGAATCTATGGTTTGTGGAGAAGATGCTAGGACATTTAACATACCCCAGTTATAATTAATTAGGATCCTGAACCAGGCTTCTCATGGACCTTAAGGGATTATAGGGCCTGCAACAAGTGGAATGTGGGTAGCTGACATATCTCTGATTCTCCAGATTTATAGTCTTACACTACCATTAGTGCTCAAAGTACCTGTGTGTATGTCTAATTTACTGTTGCTTTTCCCTCTGTTACTAATTTAATTCCCACCCCATCCTCAAGTTGCACAAAGCAGATTTGACTCCAGTGCACTGAGCTGAGCCTATGCAAAGTGAGCTCCTTCCATATTTGACCTCCTCCCACAACTTGCCTCAGACCCCAGGTCTCACTGGACTCTTTATCACCTCTTCCCCTTCTTCTATCACATTCTACTTTAAATATCCCCCCTCATAGTTCATCTTTCCATCTTGAAAATAGCAGACTATACCTGCTCACGTGTCTTAGACCATATCCCTCAAACAAATTCTCCCTTTGTTAATAGCCCTACTAAAAACACTGTATTCTCCTCATCTTTCTTCCTTCTTCAAAATATTAACATTTGAACACTCTTCCATGACCCTGACCTTAATTTTGACCCAACATCATGTATATAGAGAAACTAATATGAATTAAGGGCGTCCTTGCTTTGTTTCCTAAAAGGAGAACTCTTCACCAGGACTTTCTGATGACTGCCTGTATCTGTGAAATCCTCTAAGGCTTCACCTCTATATGATCAGTCTCTTATGGTTTGTTGAACTGCTAGAACTTTCCTTTCCATCTATGTTCATAGGTTCAATTTCTGTAACTTCCCTATGAATTTTCCCCAGTGTGGTAACCTAGATTTTCTTTCCATTTCACTTTGCAAAATCATTTGCAACTTATACTTTTGTACAGCACTTCCAGTTTCATATAAATTTTATATTGAAACTCAAAGTTCTTAGTACAGCTGTAACTTTAGGTCACATAGAATTTTATGACTATATTATGTTACTTTATAGGCAGTACTAGGGATGAAACCCAGAGTCTCCTGCATGGTACACACACTCTACCACTCAGCTACAGTCTAAGACCCCCACCTCCCTTCCTTTTAAAATTTTTTCTCTGGTCAGGGTCTCACTGAGAAGCTATGCTTGGTTCAAACTTGTGATCTTCCTGCTTCAATCTCCTGTGTAGCTGGGATGGCAGGGTACATTGCCCTGCCTGGTTCCACAAGTAATTTAAATGTAATACATTCAAAAATAAATTACTTATCTTTACACTCATGCTTTGACCTCTACCTGCATTTTTATCTCAGTTTGTGTTCTCACCCATTAGTTCAGTCACCTAGAAACAACTGCCTTCAATTGTCCAGGTCATGCATCAAGAGTATGGTAGGACATTTAACATACCCCAGTTATAATTATATATTGCCCAGGTTTTATAGAAAGGGTCAAATAAGCTTGAAGCTTTGCCTATTGATGCTGTCTCTTGTGGTTACTTAACTGCTCTGATCTAAAAGCATCATAGACAGTATAGAAACAAATAAGAGCAGCAAGTGTCTAATAAAAACTGATTCGTACAAACAGATGTAGTTTAATGTCATCTGAGTTGGGACACTGAAATCTACACTCACTTCTACAGAGGTGAACCACAGGCCCATAAGTAACCCACACATGTGGCTATGTGAAGGAAAGATTTTCTTAAGTTTCCAGCCCCTCATGGAATCATCACATCACATCACATTCACTCTCATTTGCCAAATACATCCTAAATATGTGCTCTGTCCAAATTCACTGTTATCATTTAAGTGTAGTCTTTGAAGAATATTTAATGAGCTGCCTTAGGTGACTTATGGGGTGAAATGCTTTGCACAAAATTATCTTCATGAAATTCAAATCCAATTAAGGGCTGGCCAGTTAGCTCAGTGGATTAAAGCACTTGCTTAGGCAGGCAGAGAGGCCAGGGGTCTGATCCCTGGCCTGCCATGCTGGCCCTGTCCCCAGGGCATGCTGAGACAGCGATTGAGACTGGGCATGGAGGCGCACACCTGTAATCCCAGCATTTTGGAGGCTGAAAAACAGAAAGGATCACTACAAGTCTGATTTGTGTAGTGAGATCCTGTAGACCCTGTACTAAATACATTAAACCCCCCCAACAACTTCAAATCTAATTGTACTATCATTACACACACACAATATATATATATATATATATATATATATATATGTATAATATTATATGGATACATATATTCTGCACAAAGCACATATGAGCTGAATTCTTTGACTTATCTTACACCAATCCTTTCTCTTGAGCTTTACACTGTGGCAACACTCAATAACTCAGAGTTCCGGAACACACATTTGATTACCTGCTGTCCTCTTTGCCTTTTCTTTAAATTCCCACCTACAAAAGCCATATTTGTACTCTACAACTACATCCAGCTATCATATTTTTATGATTATTTCACTTATTTTTCCAGAATTCCCAGAATTAGTTCTACTTTTTAAGAAAATTCTTAAGCTTATAGTCACAGCAGAAAGTAAACATATTATGCTGCTATAGGGTCAGTCTGCCTATAGTACATGTGTCTTCCCTTACTAGACCACATAGGGACAAAAACTGCATTTAAGTCCTCTATGCTTCTACACTGCTTGGCATGAGGTCTAGCACACAGTTGCTTCTCAGTGTTCACCAAGTGGATGTCATTTCAATTTCCCTGAAGACTGAAATCTGAAGGCAACTACCCAGAAGGGTCAAAAATACTAAGATGCTTCTATTCTAAATGCAGAAAGAACTTCCTGATTATTATCAGCCCTGGATGGAAACTGCCAACAAACTTCCTTACTTGATCGAGAGTCACCAGCTTCGTGCTTGTGTGCACAGGGTAAGTGTATTCTTCTTACTCTTCTTTGGAGCTCCGTCTTTCCACCTTGTTTGTATCTCCACACACTGTCCTTTCTCAGGTATGTGGAAGTGAGATAGGTGACCCAGGGAACTGGGCTTGTCAACACCTCCATCTTGGTTTTCCTAATAGCACAATTACCTCCTTCCTGATCATGTGTTTCCCTAACGCTTCCCAAGCTTGCCCGAACAATACCTGGAACCTACTAAGCACTCACGAAGTGTTATTTTTTTTAAATCTGGCTGGGAATTGAAAATAAGTTAATGGGAAACATGTGCCTAGGAAAAGTAAAGGATGGAAAATTTCAGGGGCCTTATTCAAAGTCAGTGCCCTGCTGCCTTTCTAGGAGTCTCTCCTGGTCTTCTCAAGAGTCTCACAGGATATCGGACTCAAAGGAACTTCTGAGTAATAAAGTTAATGGTTGGCCATGGACACTGCAGAAGTGATTATATCTTCAAATATCTATAAGCATTTAGATATAGTCATGTATATGTTGAGCAATGTATGGTAAAGCAAACAATTTGTCCTAAGAGTAGGTAAGGAACAGTCAAACTTCTTGGTCTCAGGAAACTGAAATTACTATAAAAGAGAAATTTCATTTTATCACTTAGTTATGTAATTCTAAATTATGTAACCTTGAAATTCCACTTCATTAAAAAGTAGGAAAATTTCTGGTCTTGTAGTATTATTGTAAAGACCGATAACTTCTGAAAATGCTGCTTCTCAGTTTCCCTAAGTATTCAATATGAGTTTATTCCTTCCTTCTTTTTGTTCTGAAACTGCTGTAATCATAAAGTTCAGAGTTTCAATTTCAAAAGGTTTCTCATCCTTCAGAACTCTTCTTTGCTGATGTTCACATTTCATAGCTATTATTACAAATTCCCCTAAAATACTCATCAAGTTCTTGCTCTGTACAGGGCTAGAACCCTGTGGAAAAAAAGGGTAGAAGACTCTCTTCAGTGTTCATGAAGATGTCAAAGGAAACCTTGCAATTTCTTTGCCTGTTACATAAAAGTTTTCATTGATGTGACCAAATAAGGACAGAAAGAAGAAAGAAAAATATCTGTAAATACAGGAAAACAGTGGGGATATAGTAAAAACTTTAAGACTTTCAGACCATATCAAGCAAAATGTATATCAGATTCACAAAAAGTTTTTAGTAACCACATCAAACATCAAACAAAGCAAAAGTAGACTCCCATGAACCCTACTTTCTCTTCTCAGAAAAGTAGAGAAAGGAAACACGGGGAAGCCTGAGACAGCGGTCAGTGAGCAGATTAAAATCAATTCCTTGGTACCAAGCTGTTCGCAGACTTCATGTTATAAAACTGCCATTAATAAATGGCTTGATTGGCTGGAGTGCCTCGTAGTGCAGCACCACTGTCGCATCACTTAACATCTGTGCTGTGTTCAATGGTGTCTCTCCAAATCAACATTCACATTTGTAGAAATGATCTTATTTAGAAATATAGTCTTTGCATATGTGACCAAGAGAAAATGCATTTATACAGGTTTATGTTATACTGCAAACCTAATAGGACTCTTGTGTTTCAGAGACACAGTGACATACAATGCAGAAGACATCATGTAGGAATAGAAGTACACAATGGATGATTATTATAAAAAATCCAGCTAGATAAAGCCACATTTTGGGACTGGGGATATGGCTCAGTAGAATAAGTGCTTCCCTGGCAAGCGCAAGAGCCTGAGTTCAATCCCCGGTTCCGCAAAAAAAGAAAAAAAAGTCACATTTTATTTCTGCTACTAAAGAACGAGGACTGAAACAGTTGGAAATCACTTGTGAAGAGGCAATATTGTAAGAAAGTCCACTGTTATGAGGAAAACATTCCGCATGGAGGAGTTTTAAGGGAAACCCTTTCCAAATCATCAGCCCAGGGTCAGTTTTGAGTTCAGTTTAAACACAGTTTGCAAGCAGGAACACAAAGCTGATACTCAGTTATTTCATGATTGGGTACATGGATTACAAGGATTATGCCATGTATTAACAGACAGATTTATTGTAGGCAGGTTTAAAAAGAATTGTTTATCAGTAGACAGGAGCTTCTGGGAAGGAGAGTTCTGAGCAGAGTGGGTACAGGTGAATGCACCCTTGACTGGGCCACTGTGTTCTGGGAACAAAGTATGGAGTCCTTGAAGCAAGCTGAAACAAAACTATGTGTGTGCATATTATAAGTAGAAAAAGATAAATACTATACCTGGATGTGGTCAAGTTGATCTGGCTGGCTTTGTGGAAGAAGCAGTTGGACACAGACAGTCAAGAATGACTGTACTTGACAGTTTAACTATGTGTCAAGAAACATGAAAATAGTCACAGGCTATTTATTGATTTATAATCTTCACTATAAGATTATTATAAACTTACCATTATTTCTACCACCATGCACGAATCAGTGAACTTAAAACATTGGCCCTTCAGGATACAAATAAATAATAAGTGAATTTACAGTTTGATCTTATAGTAGATTCACGACAACCACCTTGCTCTGGAAGGCCATGATACACCTATCTGTATTCTGAAAGAAAATTTGTTCACTGACTTAGATTCACCCACTCACATTGCCCAGGAGGATATGTTTACAGGGAATGATATAAGGTTCAACGCTATACTGGAATAGTAAAGAGAACGATGTTAGTTATTGCTTTTGATAAAACTGACTCCACTTGTGAATATGTGTGGATAAACCAAAGTCACCAATCAATATAGAGATTATGTGTAACTTAAAAAAAAAAAAAACAATGGTCTGGGCTGGCCAGATAGCTCAGTAGATTAAAGAGCCTACTTAGGCAGATAGATGCAGGGACTGGCTTCCACCCCTGCATGCTGTGCTGGCCACACCCCCAGGGCATGCTGAGATGGTGATTGAGATTGGGCATGGTACACGCGCTTGTAATCCCAGTGCTTGGGAGACTGAAAACAGGAAGATCACTATGGGTCCAATCTGTGTAGTGAGACCCTATGGACCCCATACTAAATACATAAAAAAGGTGGTCCAATGGTATGCAGAGACAATGACTTCCAATAAATAACCAAAGATGAGAATAATGCTTTTAAAATTCCAGTTGGTAATCAGTATATATTGCCTCATAAACTAATAAAGGGTGAAATGTAAAATGATTAATAGATTGTATTTCTGATAGAAAGCGAAGTTATACATGAAAAACAAACTCAACAAATCCATGAAAAGTTTGTTTTTTAAATGGAATTTAAGGACTCCTTTGAGCTCCATAAACATAAGGCAAAGGTCAAAGACATGCAAACTCTCTGAAAAAAATAAAATGCATTAAAATAGACAAATTGTCTAAATTTCATATATGATATGTCCCCTAAGAAGGTTAATTGCACAGAAGAAAAGAAAAATTTGAAACTAATATGCAAAAATGAAAATTTTCAGATTTCAAGAAACATTTGAGTTTTTATATCAGAAAGATTATGTAGGAAGTGGGATGAGGGAAATATAAATACCTTGATGAAACTCTAAATTTTCTAGCATAACAAGAAAATTTTGCAATTCTTAGTTAGGAATCAATAAAAATGAAAACTAACTACAGGGCAACCACACGTAACTGTTTATCTATGATACTAAACATTAAGTGACAAAGTTAATATCTATTTGAATGCTAAAATTAAAAAAATCTGTGTTGTGCATTGAGCGTTGTCAGACACACCTATAATTCCAGCACTCTGCAAGATCTAGGCAGAAGGATTACAAGTCAAACCTAATCTGGGCAATTTAACAAGACCCCATTCCCAAACAAAAACAAAAAGGTGTAGGATGAAACTCAATGTGAAGTCCCTGTGTTCAATCCTCAGTGCTGCACAAACATTCTGACCATGACAGAGAGGGCTCTAGCTGCCCAAGATGCTAAATGCAAGAAGGTCAAAGGGGAAACAGTGGCCTTGGGCTCTGGTAGTACAGAGGCTAAGAAGAAGGTAAATCTTCTGTTGGAAAAAGAAGCCTCAAAATATTGTCACTGGCCAGAACTGACCTCAGAGTTACCCACCCATTGCTGACAGTATCCCTGAAACTCACCAGTCACATGAGTCTTGGACTATGGAACAGCTACTCAGATGGTCAAGAGCAGCCCAGAGCCAGAGCTAGAGGCAGACAGCACTGCTGGCTTGGCTGAGAAGTTGTTGGCAAAGAAAACATCTCCTAGGAACTCCAGTTTCTTCAATCAGGGATTGCTAATATCTCCAGCATAATGGAGAAAAAGGCTCAGGAGGCAGTAACTGCCAGTGAAGTCAGTCTCATCTGGCCTGCCCTGAAGGGTGTGTGTGTGTGTGTGTGTGTGTGTGTGTGTGTGTGTTTTCCTGTATTGTCAAGGGGAGGCCCACACTGATATCTTCTCCACAGGAGGACTAGGAAGGTATTTACCTCTGTCACCCTTACACAGCTCAGTTTGAAGAGAAGGCACTGTACTAGGCTGGAGAACACTGTCAAATGCAGAGACTTGATCATTAAGGAATCTTGGGGTCAAAACTGTGGCTTGCATTGCAAGCTGGAAAAGGCAAAGCCTAAAGAACCCACTTGTAAACTGGGTAGACTTTCCTGTAGCTAGGAATAATAGGAACTTATCCTTAAGAATGTTGAAAATGATGTGTAGCCACAGCAGCATTTTTCTCACTGGTGGTGACAATGTAAATAGTACAATCCTTTTGGAAGACAGCTTGATAAATTCTTGTGTAAGGCTAAACATAGACTTAACATAAAAGCCAGAATCAGCATTCCTAAGTACTTATTCAAATAAATTAAAATTTTATGTTTACTGAAAAACATGTGTGTGAAATATTGATAACCAAAACAAAAACTTGAAACAACTCAGATAATCCTCAACAGAAGAATGAACAAGTTAAACTAAAGCCATGCTACCTATTGAAACACTATTTAGTGATGTAAGTAAATGACCTGTTGAGTTGCAGAACTGCCCAAATGAACCTTAAATACATTAAATTGAACATT